GCACCCCGCCCGCCCTGCTTGTGGGGCCAGGCGCTCCTGTCACCCCGCGGGCCGGGCTGGGAGACCTCCGAGGTCCTGTGCAAGGGTCATTTCCGCGTTTCTGTGCCTGGGCGAGGCAGGAAGAGGCACTAAGTTGGGCCTAGGACTGAGGAGCGGCTGGGATGGAACAGCTGATGACTGAACTCCAGCACCTGCTGCTCCCACCCCAGCCAGGCCGGCGCTTGGCTGGTGCTGGGGGCCGCGAGGCCCGGGTCCGAGGGCTGCCATTCCCAGGACTCCGAGTTCAGGGCTGGGGTGTGGCTGGGCGGTGCAGACCCGGCTCCACCTCAGGACGCAGAAATGAGGGGAAGTGAAACTCCAAGGAGTTGGCACGGTGATGCCAGCCTGTCATCTCCGCACTCTGGGAGGCTGAGGCAGGAGGACTGCGAGTGCAAACCATCCGGGCAACTTCTTGACTTACTGAGATCCTCTCAAAGTTGGAAAAAAATTTTAAAAAACAAAGTGGGTGTGAGGGGCTTGGTGGCACACTCCTGTAATCCCATCACTCGGGAGGCTGAGGCAGGAGGATCGCTGTGAGTTCGAGACCAGCCTGGGCTACATGGTGAGTTCCAGGTCAGTCTCACTACATAGTGAGACCCTGTCTCAAAAACACCAAAAAAACAAAAAACAAAAAACAACCAACCAACCAGCCAAACAAACAAAATCTGGGTGTAAAAAGAAACCAGAGGTTTCGGCATTGCTCAGCGAGCTGCCTGCCGTGCAGCTGTCCCCATCCAGGTTTCCTGGCTCAGAGGCAAGAGCAGGGGCCTGAAGGACCCAGACAGGGGCCCGACCTCGTGAGGGAGCCTCAGTTTCCCACTGCACACTCCTAGGCTGCCCTGAATTGTCCCGGTCTCCCTAAGACCTGTTTTTTCTTTTCCTTTTTTTTTTGGTCTCCTTGCTAAAAGTCATTGGTTTGTTTATTTTTTGCGACAGCGTCTCACTACATTGTCCAGGCTGGCCTTGAACTCACTAGACAGCCCAATCTGGTCTTGAACTCGTGGTGATCCTCCTGCCTCAGCCTCCCGAGTGCTGGGATCACAGGAGTGCACCCTGCTCTGGGAAGGAGCCCAGGGCCAGGCGCTTGCACGGGTGCTCGGTACCCTGAGCGGCACCCCCAGGGCCAGCTCTTCCGGGCCTCACCACAGCCCCCTGAAATCGTCCTGCTCTTTTCCTTCTTTCCAGATGTTTTTACATCACAGCCGGCAGCAGAGAGCTCATCTGCCACCCCTACGTCCTCTTCTCCCTCCGACCCCAGCTCCTCGAGTCCTGGGGACTCCTCCACGGCCCGGCCCAGCGCCCCGAGTACCGGGGAAATCACCACGTCCCCGCTCAGCTCCACTCCAACAGACGCCGGAGCGGTCTCTCCCTCTCCGCACTCCACGACAGACGCTCCCTCGGGCTCGGAGTCGCCCGGCTCAGCGTTCACGCCGCTGTCCCAGTCTGCATCCCTGCCCTCTTCCCCCCTGCCAGGCCCGTTAGTCAAAGTCTGAAAGCCACCTAGCTGATATCCCTGCACCTCCTCACTTTACTTTATTCTCTATATATTCTATTGTCTCTAAGTCACAAATCATACCAACTCTTAGTCAAATCTCCAAAGTTCTTACTACACCTCACAAAACCCTGTGTCCCTGACTGATGCTTTGAATTTCATTTACCTGCCTTTCTTTTCTTTACTTTCTTTTTTTGTTTGTTTGTGTTTTGTTTTTCGAGACAGGGTCTCACTGTGTAGTTGAAACTGGCCTGGAACCTGGAACTCACTATGTAGCCTAGGCTGGTCTCGAACTCACAGGGATCCTCCTGCCTCAGCCTCCCAAGTGCTAGGATTACAGGCGCGCACCACCATGCCCGGCTCTTAGTGTGTATTTATTTTTATTTTTATTTATTTACTTTGTGTTTTTGGAGACAGGGTCTCTTTATATAGTTCTGGCTAGCCTCGAAGTTGTAGCAATCCTTTGCCTCAGCCTCCCAAGCGCTGAGTTTACAGGCGTGCACCACCATGCCCGGCTGGGTCTACAGATATTTATGAGTACCTAATGCATTCAGATCCAGCCTGGCTATGTGCAGGACAGGCAGGCGATAATATCCATGTGCAAGAGGGGTTATAAATTATACACTTGAGCCAGGCATGATGGTGCACACCTGTCATCCCAGCACTTGGGAGGCTGAGGCAGGAGTATTGCTTTGGGTCCTACTGGGAGTCTGTATCTCAGGGCTGACTTGGGGCTTCTTCCCCACACCCAGGGGACACAATGACCCCCACGTCACACCGAAATCCGGGCGTGGTGGTGGCTGTGTGTCTGGTGCTGTCCCTGCTGCTCATTGGGGCTGTGGTGCTGGCTGTGAGGCGCTGCCATCGGGATACATCCGAGTTCCTCACGCTGGATCAGGTGTCCATGGTGAGCTGGGGGCTGGCTGGGTGGGGATGCCGCCTTCTCACTCAGCCTGAGTGTCCCCTCTGTCCCCTCTGCAGGCCAGCGTGAGTTGACAGAGGTCCACTGCCCCCTGAGTTACTGCAGCAGGGCCGGAGAGAGGAGGCCTTGGATGGCTGGGAGCCCAGGAGGCTGCAGCTACTGCCGGGCCAGCACAGCGGAGATGGCAGGCACCTGCAGTCCCAGCTGCTCTGCTTGGGAGGCTGAGGCAGGAGCACTGTCTGAGCCTAGCAGTTCGAGATCAGCCTGGCCACCAAAGCAAGAGTCTGCCAACAATAAGAGAATCAATGAACAAATAAATAAAATCCCAGATGTTCACCTGAGGGCTCCTACATCATGGATTCATGTGAGCAGCATTAATTGAGCATCTACTGTATGCCTCATTCTCTGTCACCAGCACAGTGGGGACTGTATCTGTGTCCTCCTGGACCATCATGGTAAGGGAGAGAGACAAGAGCCAGGGCTGCAGAGAGACCTTCAGATGCCCTAGGGTCATGAGGCAGAGATGAGGCGCCCCCAGCACTCCTAAGGGCTGGTATGTCCAAGTTTGCTGGGCGGGTGAGGAGGCTCCCAGGAGGGGACACTCATGCAGGGACCTCAGATGTGGGAGGGGAAGGGCAAGACGTTCCAGGAATTGGATGTGGTGCATGCAAAGGTCCTGGGGTGGGAGGCCTGGTGGCGCTAGAGCAGCACTGAGCAGATGCAAGGGCTGCTGCAGTGTGAGTGTGGGCTCCACCCTAAGGCAGGGACTCTGCGTGCCCTCTTGGTCTGGCCCACCCCACTCCCGGCTCCCCCAGGCAGGGGCACAGCAGGGGCAGCAAGTGAGGCCTGCTGTTTGCACCCTGGTGAGAGTCTGGGGGTCCCCTGAGGCCTGGAGCTTTGGGACCCCTCTCCGGAGCCTGCCAGGCTGGGGAGGAGCTCAGGCTCCCTGTCCCCAGCTCCTTCAGCAAGTGATGCGGCCCCCAGGACTGGCCGGTGGGAGCTTCCTGGGTCTCAACCTCCTCCCCAGGTTCCCGCCACCAGGAAGAGACACAGCAGAACATCACTGTCCTTCCTGCCGAGTGAAGTGAGCAGGGGAACCCACGCCAAGTCCCGGAGCTCCACAGCTGCCTGGAGACCAGCTCGGGGCAGGGCCTGTGGCTCTGGGTGAGAAACTGAGGCAGGAGGAAATGACAGCAGCAGCAGAGGGCTCAGAGAGGTGGTTCCGACGCCCACAGGGTGAGTAACGTCTCTGAGATGCACGGTTCGCTCCAGTGGGAAATGTGTAAAATTTAGTAGGGCGTGGTGGTGCACACCTGTGATCCCAGCCCTCTAGGAGGCTGAGGCGGGAGGACCTCGAGTTTGAGCCCAGCCTGGGCAACTTAGTGACTTACTGAGACCCTGTCCCCAAATTTAAAAAGGCCAGCGGTGCGGTGCAGTGTGAGGGCCACAGGTTCAGTCGCCCACCTTGGAAAGGAAGCGAGAGAGAGGAAGGAGAACATGGGACCGCAGCTGGGCCTGGTGGCACACGCCTGTCACCCAATGTTCTTCCTGGCCTGGCTCTGCTCTGTCTCACGGCAAAATGATCTCCTCAGGGGAGGAGGTGTTGTCCACCCTGAAGTTGCTCTTCAAGTCCTTAGAGGTTAATTTTTCTTCCTAGACTGTGTGAATTCTCTTTCGGGATTTGCGGTTTGTTTTGTTTTTGAAACAGGGTCTCTCTATGTAGCCCAGGCTGGCCTGGAACTCAGCGATCCTCCTGCCTCAGCCTCCTGAGTGCTGGTATCACAGGTGTGTGGCAGGCACCACGCCCGGCTCATTCAGCGTTTGTCCCTCAGACCCTGCTGGCTGCCAGGAACCCTCCCCGGGGAGCACGAGCTACACATTAGGAGCCCGGGTCAGGGCAGGGAACCTGGGAGGGTCAGCCCTGGGAGGGCTGGGTGGGCTGCTGGCCCCCGCCTGTCTTCTGGGCCCCAAGTTAGCATCTGTCCCTGGACAGGATGACGGAGCAGTTTGGGGCCCAGGCTCCTCCCTCTCCTCCTGCACACCAGGTGGCGTGGCAATGGGCCTCAGTCTGCCCATTAGGAGACAGACTCACGTGCAAGGCCCCACCGAGCTCCACATCTGTCCCCTCTGGTCCCTACCTCTGTCCCCAAAGTTTGAGTCTCAATTTTGTGCCCTGGTCTGGAGTCAGATCCCCCTTCTCCCCTCCCTGTGCAGTCCAGGCTGGCCTCGAATGACTATGGTGATCCTCCTGCCTCAGCCTCCCAAGTGCTGGGATGAGAGGTGTGTGCCACTATGCCCAGCTTAATTTTTATTTTGAGACAGAGTCTCACTAAACTGCCCAAGCTGGGCTCAGACTTGAGACCCTCCTGCCTCTGTCTCTGAAGTGACCAGGTACTTGCTGGCAGCTCTGCCTGGCTTCTGGTAAGTGCTGTTACAATTCCAGCCTCATACACGGGGCACAGGGGACCTTATGGGCAACGCACACACTGTTCAGGAAGTAGGAGATAAATATTCCTGCAGAGCCTACCAGAGATGGGTTCTGCTGTATCCTTGGGGCGTGGTGGCGCATAGCTGTCATCCCAGTGCGTAGGAGGCTGAGGCCGGAGTATCGTTGTGAGTTTGAGGCCAGCCGAGGTTACACAGCATGACCTTGTCTCAAAAATAAAAACTTAAGGCTGAGATCTGTACCCCTTTCCCCAGAAAAGGAAAGCGGGGGTTCTGAGAGGTTGCTGGGCTCAGGGACCAAGCAGGACAGGACATGAGCGGCCACACCTCCCTGCTGTCCCCCCAGCCGGTCTGGGATCCTATGGGCTCGGGCTCCGCCCCTCTGAGCCCTCGGGAGGCCCTGGCACTCAGAGGCGCTTCTTGGGGAGCCCTCTGCTGGCCCCGCTGTGCAGCCGCCGGGGGTCCTGGAGAGGCGGAGCTGGAGACCGGGTGGTGTTCACCGAGGGGTCGGGCTGTGGGGCAGGGGGGCTGCGCCTCGAAGGTGGCTGCAAAGGCGTGGGTGCGGGGAAGGGTGTGGCTCCCGCGGAAGGCACATCGCGGACCCCAGGGGAGTCTTAGGCCGGGTCCAGGAGCGCGATCCTGGGTCCAGGACTGAGTGCGAAGGTGGGGCTGGGAGCAGGGGGCTGATCTCGGAGGAATTCACCAGGGGACAGTTGTCACAGCGTTGCTGGCCAGGGTGGGACAGAGCGGGGACCCGTGTGAGAGGCTCTGAGGTCCCACAACACCATCATTTCCCAAGCCTCTCACTTGAGACCCTCCTGCCTCAGCCTCCCAGAGTGCTGGGATGACATGCCTGCCTTGGGGAGACCCTTCTCATGCCTCCCACAGCAAGCCGGGTGCTTTGGAGGCTTGAACTCAGTCTGACTCCTTCAGACCTGGGCACATGGTGGGTCAGGGGACACGGTCTCCTGCGAAGTGGCCGACCCACCGACCCCTGAAGCCTGGGGAGAGACCAGGGACCATTCCCGGCCCTGAAGTCCCCTGCCCCCGGCGCCTTCCAGACGCAGTCCCACCTCTTCC